CTATAGACTTAGGAATCAAATCTTTGGTTGTGTTTGGAGACTCAGCTTTAGTCATCAGTCAGATCAAAGGAGAGTGGGACACTAAACATCCCAATCTTATCCCCTACAAAGAACATGTCCTGACACTGCTACCTCATTTCGAGCAGATTACCTTCGAGCACTTCCCGCGAGAAGAAAACCAGCTAGCAGATGCTCTAGCTACAATGTCTTCCATGTTTAAACTTAACAGGGATAATGAGGCTCCCAAAATCACCATCGAGCGAAGGGACGAACCTGCACATTTTCACGAGATTAATACCGAAGAAGTAGTGGACCGGCCCTAGTTTCACGAAGTCAAAAGGTATCTCGAGACTCGAGAATACCCTAAAGGAGCTTCAGTCAACGACAAAAAGTTCTTGAGGAGATTTTCTGCCAAGTTCTTCATGAGAAATGGTATCATGTACAAGCGCAATCACGATTGCATTCTACTCCGTTGTGTAGACAAGGTTGAAGCTGAACAAATCATGGCTGAACTGCATAATGGCACCTTTGGCACCCACTCGAGCGGGCATACGATGGCGAAGAAAATCCTTCGGGCAGGCTACTATTAGTCTACCATGGAAGTTGACTGCCATCAATACTCCAGAACTTGTCACAAATGTCAAGTCTATATGGATAAGGTACACATACCTCCAGTTCATCTCAACATCTTAACAACTCCTTGGCCCTTCGCTATGTGGGGAATCGACATGATTGGAGAGATCAAGCCTACAACATCCAATGGACACCGCTTTATTCTGGTAGCCATTGATTACTTTACCAAATGGGTCAAAGCAGCTTCCTTCGCATCAGTTACCAAGAATGTTGTTGCCCGCTTCATCAAGTAGAACCTCATTTGCCGATATGGTATCTCCGACAGGATCATCACAGACAACAGTACAAACCTGAACAATACTATGATCACCGCTTTATGCGAACAGTTCAAGATTCAACATCACAATTCATCTCCCTATCAGCCAAAGATGAATGGTGTTGTCGAAGCTGTGAACAAAAATATCAAGAAGATCATACAAAAGATGACAGTCGCCTACAAGGACTGGCATGAGATGTTACCGTTTGCTCTGCACGGGTACCGTACCACGACTTGAACATCAACTGGGGCAACACCCTTTTCTTTGGTCTACGGCATGGAAGCTATCCTGCCTATTGAGGTTCAGATTCCCTCCTTAAGAATCATTAAGGATGCTGGTTTGAGTGAAAACGATTGGATTCAGACCCGGCTTGATCAACTTAACTTGATTGATGAAAAGCGACTTACTGCTGTTTGTCATGGTCAGATGTATCAAAAATGGATAATCAAGGCTTTCAACAAGAAAGTCAGACGCCAGGTATATCAAGTCGGAGATCTTGTAATCAAGCGGATCATCTGGCCACAAAGTGATCCCAGGGGCAAGTGGACTCCTACCTACGAAGGACCATTTGTGATCAAAAACATCTTTTCTGGTGGGGCAATGATATTAACCACCATGGACGGTGACAACCTGCCGCATCCTGCGAACGCATACATAGTTAAAAGATACTACGCATAAATGACCCGACAAGTTGAAAACCCGAAAGGGAGACTTGGGCAAAAATGGGCATCCCGGTGAATCGAAAACCCGAAAGGGCGGTTCAGGCAAAAATTAGGGATAAACAAAAAAATATGTACACCCGGCAAGTTGAAAACCCGAAAGGGCGACTTGGGCAAAAAAGGGTTTCCCGGTGGATTGAAAACCCGAAAGGGCGATCCAGGCAAAAGTTAGGGAATTAAAGCGTATGACTATGTCTCGTCGGATCACTTTAAGCACAATCTCTTCACAGACAAACTCCAGGCTTCTGATCAAATCAATCATCATCGGACGAAGCAACGAATGGACAAGATGTTCAGAGTTATGAAGGCTATAGCAGAATGGGAACCCCATGGAATTTTTACACATAGCCACCTTTCTTTGTATAAATTTTTCTCATTTTTTATGACAACATTCTCTTACTAGGATGTCTGTTTCTTTTGTACAAAATACTTACACAGAGTTAATACAAAGATACTTCAAAGTGAAGAAAACTATTTGCCTTTCTTTTCTTTTTACACTTGTGTTTTATTTGAAAACGTCCAATGATTTATTAAAATGAGCATATGCATTTGAATATAATTACTGCTTACAAATAAACAAAATGAGAAATAATATTTACTGACAGGTTGAAAGTATAGGAAAATGTATTTAGGTTATTCCAGGAGAAATCCCCTGCAGTACATCATCTAGATCCTCAGCAGAGCTAAAACCTTGGAATACATATCCCCAGTGGAGTTAAAATTCACAATCCCCGTCAGAGTAAAGTCTTCAAACTCCCAATCCCAGCGGAGCCAAAACTTTGTGTGATCGGTGGATCTGGAACTGACTGTTTAACACTGGTTCGCGAAATGTCGCGGAAGCAAGAGTCGCCACCGTCTTTTATTTTCTCCAAATGGAAAGGACAAAAGCACAGAAAAATTCCTTATAGAGATTGCTCTCGGTTCGGGAGGTAGGTTATAGAAAGGGAAGGTGTTAGCACCCTTTCTATCCATGGTTATCCATGGGCTCTTAGATACTTGCTCATTTGTGTTTTCAAAATTGTTTGTTTGCTTTTTAACTGTGGGTTTAAAAAAAAGTTTCTTTGAAAATTCCAGTTCGACTCTTGTATCGGTCCTCAAGAGTGTTTGAAAAATTGCTTTCGAAAGCTTTTTGAAAAGGTGTCGGTGTGAAAAGTATTTTTGAATTTGTTTTGAATTTAGAGCAAGTATCCACGAGTCGTCTACCTACCCTAAGGAATTCGTCTGTGTAGATGTCCTTTAAAGTAGTGCCATCCCACCATTGAGAGGTAGGTAGCACCACCGTTGGAGGTGTTCGGGTCAATTCGAGGTTCGGGACATGGTGATCACCGGAGCAATGGGAAGACACCTTAGAAGCTACCCTCATGCCAGGTTCCCGGATCATGAGGACTTACTAAGACATCCTCTACTCGACGATCACCTTTCGAGGCAAGGCAACAGTGAGGCGTACCCTAGGGGTGGTGTGTGATTTGTGTGTCAGATTCATTTATTTTTGTCTTGTCAGGTTATGGGTGATCTATGTGTTTGTTTTTTATTTTTTTGTCATTCATTCTTGCATGCATTTATTTAACAGTTAAAAAGATGTGGAAATTAAAAGTTCTAAACTATTACAAAGGCGCGGGTCCACATCGCCAAAATTTCCAGAACCCGATTTGACAGAAAATAAATAAAGAACTAAAGTACGAGAAATATAAAATGTCCGAGTTACATGGCTTTGGGAGAATTACATAAATATTTAAAAGAAACGAAATAAAACGCGCGAATTGAAATAAGATTGGAAACGAGGGCGTTGGACCCTTTTGAAGTTAAATTGAAATTAAAAATTAATTAATTATTTATTGAAATAAAAGAAGTGTTTTTTAGGTTTTTTTGCATTTATGAAATAAGAAAATTAAAATTAAAATTAAAAGAAACCCTAATTCTAAGTTATTTTTAATTATTTGAGAAAAATGTTAAAGTTTAACTTAATTTACTAAAGAATTTATGTACATGTTTATTTACAAAATAAATTAGTAATTAATAATAATAATAATGATGAGAAAATTATTTATTAAAAAAAATGATGAAAAAGTTAAAAAAACCTAATTTCTACATATTTAATTTATTAAGAAAAATATTAAAGTTTTGAAACCTAAATTAATCTAATTAATTGTTTAAAGTTTATTTACAAAAATAATAATAGTAAAATTAATATTAATAAAATAAACATTTTTTTGATTTTTCTGTATTTTATATTTATTATGAAAATTATTTTATGGAATTAAAAGAAAACAATTAAAAAAACAATTAAAAGAATAAAAAAGAAAAACAAATAAAAATTAAAAATTGAGCAAACCATAGGGGGTGTCTGGCCCAATGGGAGGTTTTTTGAAGTATTGACTCCTGAGTACCGTGGTCTGCATTCTTTGGCCATTGGATTGGGTTTCATGCATAAGTTGTTCTACTTTGGCCATTTGGCTTTTGGCTTTTGGCTTTTGGCTTTTGGCCATTTGTGTTCTGGCTTCAACGTTCCCTTAATGTCTGGCTTAATGTCTGCCTCGCCATGTATTGGTGTCATGCATAGAATGTTCTACTTTGGCCATTTGGCTTTTGGCCTCAACGTTCCTTAATGAACCTGCATGAGATCCTGTCTAAATCTGCAGTGTTGAACCTCATGAACACATTAAATAAAATCATAAAAATTCAAATAAAACCAACATATGAAGAAATTTAATGTTTAGGCACAATATGGCATGTATGAATGATTATACCCTTTTGATCATGGAGATCAAATCAACCTTCACTACAAAAAAGAAGCTTAGTTGCCACGTGAAATTCATGTGGCAAACATCAAAATCACGTGGCAAAGCAAAATTAGCGACGTGGTGAGTTATGTCGCTGGGGAGTAAGTGGCAAGCAAGTAGCGACGTGATTCCCACGTCACAAAGTTGTGACGTGGTATTCACGTCGCTACATATTTGTTAATGCAGCTTTATTAGCGACGTGAGATTCATGTCACTAATTTGTGACATGAATCCCACGTCGCTACAGGGGACGTTTTTATTTTTTAAAAAATTGTTAATAATTATTTTTTATATTAATTCATTAATGTAATAAAATTTAAATAATAAAATTTATATAATAAAATTTAAATAATAAAATTTATATAATAAAATTTATATATTAAAATTTATATAATAAAATTTATATATTAAAATTTATATAATAAAATTTATATAATAAAATTTATATATTAAAATTATTAGAATAATAGTATTTTATTTTATATTTCGAATAATAGAATTTTATAAAATAAATTCACATAATTAAATGTTATATAATTTATTAATTTAAAATGATAAAAATAAATATCTTACATAAATGCAAATATAAAAACGAAATAAAAAAAATGTTTTCACGGGGCATCTTCACCCGGAAAATTATCAAGATCAAAGTCATCAAGTCCGTCATCATCCGGCTGTGTATGATCAGGAACATTTTGATTTCGACCCCCTTGCATAAACTGTCTCATCTGCTCCTCCATATCAGATTGCCGCTTCCGCATGATCTCTAACTGACGCTCCTGCTCTTGCCTCATTGTCGTCATTTGGGCCTCCATTTCGCGTCTCACTTCACTGGCCGCCAATTGTCGTACTGTTTCAAGTTGAACCTGAGTCAGATTGGGTTGACGTGACCCCCCTTCTCCATCTCTAAGTCTTTGAAACAGATTACGATCACCAACTCTCAAGCCGGCGGCCAAATTTCCTCCCGCAAAAAAGCAACCATTAGGCCCTTTTCCATTAACAACCTCATTCCAAATATAGAAATCAACATCCCCATTAAGCGGCTCCCCCTCTGCTGGCCTATATTGCGGATTGTGTTCTAGAAAATTTGCTAGCAATGTCTGATAATCATCCTACACATTAAATTATACATTAAAAATATTACATAATACAATTAAAAAAAAATTAAAACATTTATATATTAAATTATACTAAATTCAAATATATTAAAAATTTGTCACGTGATTTTCACAAATCAACTTATGAATTGCCACGTGAGTTTCCCGTGGCAATGTATCAGTTGCCATATGAAAATCAGTCACCTGGCAATTTATCAGTTGCCACATGATAATCACGCCACAACTTATAGATTGCCACGTGGAAATAACGTCACTATTTTTGTTATTAACTTAAAAAAAAAACATAAGTTTAATTACTTACAAAAGCTTTCTGGGTGCGGTCGTCGACAAAACCTCCCGATTTTTTTGTCCGAGTCCTCGTAATCAACTCAATCATCAATGGTGGTCTCCCCATCTCCTTAGTCTAAACAATAAAGTTAAAAATAATTAGTAACAAATATTATGAATAAAAATATATATAACTTAAAAAATTAGTAATATTTACCATCCGTCGGACATGCTCTGCAGTGCTAATACTTCCAACAGTATTGACACATCCCCCTTTTTCTGATGCCCTCATCTTCTTAAAATTTTCAGATTTGGCCTTGAATTCTGGCGAACTCCAATATGTACGAAGTTCGCCAAAAACCTCTACGCCTATCCAGTTAGGACGGATACCATGCAGCTCATAATTCTCCCTAACCCGCCGCATTATATCCGAAAATCTTCTAGAAGTTCTGCTATAATATATTTTTTCCATTATTTTCTCATTCAACGGATCCCACACACATTTTTCCTGCAATGTTGTATGACATTAAAATAAAAAGTTAAGCAATTATCATTAAAATGTGACTTAAATAACAATACTAAAAAAATATAATAAATTTACAACTTAAATAAATAACAATACCTTAAATTTTTTAAACCATTCTTCTTTATTTGTAACCTCGCCAAAGTTCTTCCAAGAGGATTTATACATCTGCTGGATTATATAATTAATAACCTTGGCAGCCGTCCGACTCGGCGCGAAACTAAACAACAAGATTTTGAATAAACAATATTAATTATAAATTTATACAAAATATTAAAATGAATATGTACTTAAATAAAAGTTTATATAAGAAACTTACTTGCTTCCTTCGGGCCAAATCCAAAACCTCCCGTCAATTACATGAATCTCACTCGGATCATCTGATCTCTCACGAATATCAGCTCCATCTATATCATCAGCTACGACATCTGCATCACCGCCAGCCTGTGTAGGACGTGGGGTGCTGGATCCTGCAGCCTGTGTGGGATGAGGGGTGCGTGACCCTCCGGTCCGTCTAGGACGTGGGGCGCGGGATCCTGCAGCCTGTGCCGGACGTGGACTGCTGGGTCCTCCAATGTGTGTGGAGTGTGGGGTGCTGGACCCTCCCGCCTGCTGGAAGGATGAATACATCTGTGTGGGTCCCCCTGTCTGCTGGAATGATGAAGGCACGCCAGTCTGTATAAATGGAAAACTGGGTCCTCCCCCCGTCTGCTGGAATGATGAGGGGACACCAGTCTGCTGGAAAGATGAAGGCACCTGGGTCGGTGCGAAAGGGAAACTAGATCCTCCCGCATGCTGGAAGGAAGATGGCATCTGAGTATGTGGGAAAGGAACACTAGATCCTCCCGCCTGCTGGAAGGATGACGGCATCTGGGTCGGTGGGAAAGGGAAACTAGATCCTGCTGCATGCTGGAAGGAAGACGGCATCTGAGTCTGTGGGTAAAGGAAACCGGGGCCTCCAGGTGGCACAAAAGATGCAGGTACCCCAGACGGGAATGTATGGGAGGAGAGTAATGGGACAAAACCCTGAGTACTGGCCAGGGACATATGATCAACCTGACTCTGAGGGGGTGGGCACATGGCTGAGTGAGGAGACTCACATGTTACTACCCTCGGACGCTGAGACTTCTTACCGGTATCCTTATTCTTCGGTGCCATTTTACCTAGTTATATATATTTTCATAAACAAAGATAATAAAGTCATTGACATAAATATATATTCATTGACAAATTCAATATATAAATGTTCAATAGATATTCATTAATATTACATTAAGTGATTAATTAATCTAAATCTTCATGCTCGTTATCCATATCATGTTCATCATCCGATGTAATATTGTCCTCGGATTCAAACTCTTCATCATTGTCTTCATCCACATTATTATCAACCAACAATATAGACGCATCAACTTGAAGGCCCTCAACAGTTGTATCGGACAAAGTTGTAATGTCTTCAGCTGCAACCACATCATTAATCTGTTCAACGTCATCAACTTGGTAGGCAACATCTTCCACTAGATCTCCAGTTTCAATATGACCTAGCGGTTTTGTTTTTATTACAACACACCATCCTCTTTTACGTATTACAAATGAAGGATAAGGAACATAATAAACTTGCCTAACAATATGTGACATTATGAAAGGGTCATATTCTTTGTATCTCCGGTTCATTTGAATCTCGACAGAACCATATGACTTGTCTATCTTTGTGCCTCTAGTTGGATCATACCATTCACAATAAAACAAGACAACTTTATTTTCCGTGTCCAAGTAATTGTATACCAACTCGTAGATATGTTTAACAAATCCATAGAAGTCGTCTTCACCGCCATCTGTAACTCCTTTTACAAAAACACCACTATTTATGGTTTTTTTCCCTTCGGTCCATGCCTCAGTGTGAAATTTATATCCGTTCACGAAGTATGTGTGCCAATCATTTGCGCTTTGGATAGGGCCTTCTGCCAAGTTTCTCAAATGGAGTATTTCTGGAGTTAGTGCAGGAACGCTAGACAATGTTTGCTTGAACCATGAGGGAAATTGAGCATGAATGACACCTGATGTTGACTGTACCCCGGTACTATGAAAATAGGCATTGTTAAATTCCCTACAAAAAACACACAATAAGTTTAATAAGTTTGGTATACACACACCATAAGTTTAAAAAGTTTTGGTAAACTCACTCAAGATATGGTTTAACTTCAACGCAGTTGATCAAGACATGGACATGTGCAGATTGCATTTCTTTTTGGGTCAACCAATGCACACCCTTCTTTCCAGAAGGTCGACCTGGTAGCGCAAAGACTGATAAGGTGAATTGACTCCTCTGATTGACATTTACAGGATTCCGTATGATTCTAGGAGTTAACATCAAGTGATTGAAATAGTGACTGCAAAAATGTGATGTTTCCCGATGCAAGTAATGTGCACATATAGATCCTTCTACTCTAGCTTTATTTTTTACCGATCTCTTTGAATCACCCATGAACCTTTCAAACGGATACATCCACCTATATTGAACAGGTCCACCAAGATAAGCCTCATATGCAAGATGCACAGGTAAATGTTCCATGGAGTCAAAGAAACCAGGCGGAAATACTTGTTCCAACTTACAAAGAATGAGTGCAATGTTTTGGTCCAACTTAATGATGTCTTCCACTTTTAAAGCTGACGCACAAATATCTCTAAAAAATTGACTAATTTCAGTTAGTGGGTCAAGAACATGTTTGGGTAGCGATCCAAATGCAATTGGTAGCAACTGTTCCATAAAAATGTGACAATCATGACTTTTCATACCATGCAATTTTCCAGTGTTAGGGTCAGCACACCTTGCTAAATTTGATGAATACCCATCGGGCATTCTCAATTCTTTTAACCATCTACAAACCGCTTTAGCTTCTTGGGAAGTCAGACTGAAACAAGCCTTGGGTTTTAATAATTTTCCATTCGGTTGAGGCTTCAACTCCAACTCTCTTCGATTACACCAAATTCCCATGTCTTGTCTGGCCTTCTCATTATCTTTTGTTTTTCCTGTCACATCCATCACTGTGTTAAATACATTATCAAAAAAATTCTAGCATCCTCAACCATGTCACCGATCAAATTAAAGTTCTCCTCATACTCCATAACCGGTCGACTACTTGAAGCATGCGTGTTGCTAGTCTCTGGTACATTAACCGGTAGTTCTTCACCATTATACGTCCAAACCCAATAATTTTCAATGAATCCCCTTCTATGCAGATGACGTGTTACTTCCTCTGGGTCACTAATTATTGGTCTACATTCACACTTAAGACAGGGACATCTAACCCCTCCTTCGCTTCGACAACAATCCTGAGCAAACGCCCACTTAATAAACCCATCAACTCCTACTATAAAATTGGGTTTAAGTCCACTTCTTCCTGGATATGTTCTATCGTACATCCAACTGCGATAATACCGATAATATTCCATACTGCACATTTATACAATCATTGTCTTTTTCATTAGAAATATTCTTAAACTATTTAATACTATTCTTAGAAATATAAATTTTGCTTTTTTATATATATACTAACATATAAATAAATATTCAAATGTAAAATATATAATTTTTTATTACATAACAATAATATCAAAAAACAATAATATAACATATTTACTTTTTATTATATATAATATAAGATACATACTATTTAAATATACTATAATATACTATAATATATTTAGAAAACAAATAATGTAAGATACATACTATTTATTATTATATATATAACAATAATATTAAAATAATAATATAATATATATATTCTTTTTTTAAATATGTTTTTTATAAATTGTTATTCTAATATATAATATTTTTTCCATATCTTTAACATATAAATAAAAAAATAAAACTATTATAATAAATACAATTTACATCTATAAAAAACATGTTATTAAATATGTTATTAAATTTATGTTTTCTAAAATTTTTTAAAAAATATATTAAATATGTTATTAAAAAATATGCAAATTACATATACAAATATACTACTAAAAAATATATAAATCACATATGCAAAAAATATGCAAATTACATATACAAATTACATATGCAAAAAATATATTAAATATGTTATTAAATATGTTTTTAAAATTTTTTTTATTATCAGTAATTTTATACTACTAACAGTATATACATATATTCCTAATTACCACAAAATACATATACAAATCTAATCTATATAATACATATAAAATCTAAAAAAAAATGCATAAATACCTCTATATAATTTCTTCAATAAATTTGCGTCTTCTAGTTCTTGGTGTTCTTCAAATTTCTCTACAAATAATAAGGAACAATCCAACAAATACCATGTTAATTAAATTCCAGTATAAAAACTAAAGATAAAACGAAATAAACATTTAACATCACATGCATACCTTAGATTTCTTCAACAAATTGGAATGGAAGAAAATTAATTCGCAAAATTGGGTTTGAGTTTGTGAGAGTTGCTGTAATGGAATGGAAGCAAGCAAAGGAAAGCAAAGGAAGAAGAAGAAGCACGCTACTGTAAATCAAAACGTTAACATTTGTAACTTCTAGTAGCGACGTGACTGTCACGTCGCCACGTTGCCACGTGATAATCACGTCGCTACAATGCAACCATAAATACTTTTCTCTGTCCAACACTGCGCATTTTCCCCCCAAAAATTTAGCGACGTGGCTAACACGTCGCTACAAAATTTCAAACTTCCCTCCCAACAACGTTCATCAGATTCCATTAAATGTCATTAAAATATATTAGCGACGTGGTTATCACGTCGCTACTACCCACGTGATAAGCACGTCGCTAATATATGTCGCTGGGGACATATATTTTTGTAGTGCTTACCCTTACTGGAAAAGTAGTGACATGAATGCTTTTATGCCCTTTGGATCATGAAGATCAAGCCAGCTTTACCCTTACTGAAGAAGTAATAAGATGTTGGTTTGTAACTGAGATGACTTGTTTGTAGTGAGAGAGGGATTTGTAATAAGGATTTCAAGGTTTTTAGGGTTCTTGAGAGGATTTGATATTCTGACAGCGTTGTGGCAAGGGTTTTCTTTTTTTCTCCTCTCTTTTCTCCTTTTTTCCTCTCCCCTGGTTTGTGTGACAAGAAGGTGATTATATAGTGGAAATTAGGGTAAAGAAAATGGGCTTTGAATGTGCAATTGGGCCTCCAAATTCACTTGAATTCGTCACTTTCCAGGCTAAATCGCAGGGACTTAAGTGCATTTTTTGAAGTTGAAATGTGAAAACAAAATGTAGCCGACATCGAGAACTAACTCCTGTCCGAAAATCGACTCAATCGGATAAACGGTGAATTAGTTATGAATTTTTGAAGTTTCAGCTCAGACAAACTTATTTTGGGCTCCAGTGTCGACTCCGACACGTTCTTCAATAAAAAACTGGTATTGATCGGTGCATAATCCGGTCTCGACTTTTGAAGCAAAGTTGTAGATCTACGAGTCAGGGACCTTGTGTAAAAATATGAGTCCAATCCGATAAAAATTGACCGAGTTATGAATTTTCGAAGTTTCGGCCCAGATGAAATAATATTCAGCATTCAGGATTTTCAGCGTGTCACGCACTCTGAGCAAAAAACGAAGGCCTTTTGAATACCGTTTGAACTCAATTCCTTCTGTGAAAATGTAGTCAACTCAATTTGTGAAATTTTGGCGCCGGAACCAGCTCAATACGATGAAAATCGACCAAGTTATGATTTTTTGAACATGACGCAAATAAACTTCTGTCACAAATTTTCTGCACGAAAATACCTGATAAATCCACATTTTTGAAGACCTTCTGATTGAAATTGGCTTCCAGCCGTGAGAGATGAAAACGTAGATGATATCAATACGGAATTTTGGCCACCGGAACGGGTTCAAAACGAGTCACGATCTTCAAGTTATGAATTTTTTAGCGCGTAAAAACTGCACTTTCAGCACACTTTTTCACTATATTTCTTCAAGAAAACTTGCACATTCGGATACCTTCTTTAAAGAATTGACTCTTGAGCCGAACCTGAATTTGAGAATACGTTATCAGAGATATCTTGGCGAAATAATACCTGAATATGACGCGCCGGGTTGGACTTGTGAATTTTTCTTGAAATATTTTGAGAAATATGGGAGGGCAAATTTTGGGGTACAA